GTTTCGTTCCCTACCTGTCCGCAAAGAGAATGCGCATTTTTCTTTCCTTTCCTTGCATTTTTTGCGTTAGGAAAAAAGAACCGGAACCAAAAAACACCGGAACTTTCCGGAACCGGAACTTCCGGTGAAACCCTATTATTTATATATTTAATTTATTAACATTTTTCATAAAAATTTCTAAAAATAAAATTAAAAATAGTAAGAAGTTCTCTCAAAATAATTTATCTAAATTAAAATTTTTAAAACTACTTACTTCCACTATTTTTTGTTGAAAAAGGGAAATATTTGGATTAGAAATCAACTCCGAAGAATTAATTGAAAGAAGAAAATCTCTTCCTTTATTTCTAATAATTTCACCAATTTCAGTGTCAGTATTTAATTCAGCCGTTTCAATATTCTTTAAAATACGAATAAGGAGTGACAGTTCTACAAGATCAAAGCTTTTCAAGTTGGTAGTATTTAAAAGTCGATTTTGACCAGTTCTCATGCTTCCTATTATTTTTTGGATATTAATATAAGATTATTATTTATTAAGAAAGTTGTAGAACCCCATGCCTAGTGCTGGGCTTCTGAGCTTGAATCAGTTAAGATTTTGAAATACTCGGAGCCTGAGCCAAAATGCCAGAATTATACATTTAAGTCAGAAAGTATCCTTTGATATCGAGATCCTTTGATCGTATCCTGTTTCTTTGATATATTTCTAAATTTAATTTAAGAAAAATAATTCTTTAATTTAATCATACAAATCAAAAAATAAAATCATGGGATACGTTTCTTCCAACGCCGTCACTAATGAGGTTTTTCCAGAGGTAAGGTGATAAGGTGAATTTTTTTTTCTTAATAAGGTGAATTTTTAGGGGGAATTTTTAGTGCCTTCTTTAATTATAATAATTTTTTACCTGATGGGGGGTTCATTCCTTTAACCAAATTTTGGGACAAATTTTGGTTAAAAATAAATAAAAGAGTTGTTATAACGATTGGAAATAACATTTAGTTAAATTTTCTTCAAATATAGAAGAAAAAATTATCTAAATATTAAAGGGAAATTTGAATTAGAAATTGGATGGACTTTCTCTAATTTTATGTTTTTGGGTTTATTTGTTGAATTTTTTGTTTTGTTAATTTTTTTAGAATTAAGAATTTGAAAAGAAATTCTTTATTCAAACGACCCTAAAATTTCAAATATCAACTAGTAGTAGAAGACTTGGAAATTACTCGGAATCATCCCCATATTTTGGATTTGATTCAAATATGTATTATCAAAGTTTTTGTCTGGAAATTGGGATTTATAAATAGCTATTTACCGTATTTTCTCGATAAATTCCCCTCACTCGAATAATTCCCCCCTCGATTAATTCCCCATGCCAAGGAAGGGTTGAAAAAATAATTCCCCGGGGAATTAATCGTAGACGGCGTGTTGTAATGGCTAACACATCTGTCCGGTTTACTGAAGATTCTGGTTCGCTCCCAGCCGCCGAACAACCTTTTACACTAGCTAAAGGAGATAAATAGCTATAGCCTAGCTGCTTTACTATATGTATATTTATGTATAAGAAAGAAAATTTTGAAAGGTGAAGTCTGGGGATATAAATTTTTAAGGTAATATAAAATGAAAAGCATGGGGGGGGGGGGGGGGGGGGTTAGAGAGGTGGGGGATTTTTAGTGGAGGGAAAATTTGTCGAGGTGGGGATTTATTTACTTTATGTAAATCAATAACAATTCAAAAAAAATTTTTAAATATGTATAAAAAAGATTTAAATAAAATTTTAAAAGGCTATAAGCTTAGGCGGTAGGTTAAGGTCTATAAAAAATTTGTTTCCATCTTCCGCCTACTCTCCCGTCTTTTTTGGTCTTACACCTCTCCTTCCGTTTTGTTTGGTAAACCTCGAAAAAATTTTTATAAGCAAGAATAAACAATGAAGCCAGACTTGGACGGATAATTTAATTTTACGGGAAAGTTTTTCGAGGGGGTGTGGGAATTAATTGGATTTTTGAATTTCGTGACAATTAAAACGCAATTAATTAATTTACTATAATTATTATACTTAAATATACTTTTACTTTTATTAAAAAAGTTTCAATTATTTTCTCTTTTTTTAAATTTAATGCACGCAACTTGAATTTGCCTAACTTTTGTTAGTTAAAAAATATTTAAAAAATTAATTTTACTTTAAACGCAAACTTTTAATTTAAACAAATTATTTACTTTAAGTATTATTAAAAATAATTAAAATTAAAATGCCCGACCTATCCATCTCTCGTATAAATGTTGTAGTTGATTTAATTGGCATTCCTTTCTTTCTAATTCTTGTTTATGTGACTATTAAACACAAGTTTGGAATTAGTTTTAAATTTAAAATTTGTATGTTTTAGTTATCCCTTTTCAGAGGGTTGGGGGCCCGGTCCGTTCCGAAAGATCGAGTCGGGCATCAAATTTTGGCCCGAAAAAGACTGGGTCGGCGGCCCAATAAAAATGAGGCCCGAAAAAAATGACTCGAACCAGGGGCGGGCGCATTGCGTTTTGCGTTATTTGCGTTAAATTTTGGCCTTGCGTTGCGTTTTGCGTTTTTGGAAATTGTCTCTTGCGCCCGCCCCTGACTCGAACGTCGGCCCGAGTCGTAAACCCTAAGTCTACTTTTCAGATAAGAGATTAATCCTTTTAAATTATATAAACGTCTCAACTGAAAAATGTCCTGCGTACAGAAAATCCTTAACTGAGAATAAAAACCGGCTTTTCCTTTAATTTCGAGCAGTATTTAACTTTGAAAAATAAAATTATCAAACTATCATATTATTTTTAAATTTATTTAAGAAAACTTCAAGGGACCTGCCATAAATTAATTGGTATTTACGCAGCTTGTTGCATTCTTGCAAAAATTCAAATACTTCCACCCTTTATTATAATGATTACCAAAATAGATGTTCCTTTATGGCTATGCGCTTTAATTGATATTTTGCCAATAGCTGGTTCTTTCAATATTTATTCTTTAATGCTTGTGATTGCTATAGATAGAATTCTTAGTATATTCTTTCCTATTTGGTCAGATAATTTATTCTTTTTTAGTTAGATGGAGATCGGTCTGACTTTGAATTTCCTTTCAGAATCCTGATTCAGAAGCAATGTTACCGTATTTCCTCTAATAGAATGCCCCTTCTCTTTTGGCCCCTCTAGCCTTGGAAGATGATGGAAAATAGATTGCATCTAGAGGAAACACGGTATTTATGGTTCCTCGATTTTTGCTTAACTCGAGTTAAAGTATCAGGTTACGATTTCACTGAAAATCGTAGTTAATGATCGATGTCAAAATTTTTTCTAAATTCCTAATTAATATCTGAAGAATTCATTGGAACTTATATCCGGAACCTAATCAGCACTTCCGGGTTAAATTTCCAGCCAATCCTTAAAGGACCTCTTGGGCAGCATTTAATTTATAACAAAAAATTAATTAAAGGTATTCTTCTCGTGGTGATTCCTTCCATTTCCCATTTATGTATGGAATTTCTAGCTTATTTCCTCTTACATTCATTATATTTGTTATAATTACAGTATTGCAGGACCCAATGCGGTTAAATTAATTTTTATATTAACATTAACAAATAATTATTTTCAGCCAAAATTTTTGTTTCCTAAGTGATTTAATAACATTAAAAGGAGAAGGAAATTTTCATGTTGCTTGTTTGGTTTTTAATTGGACAACAGTTGCTTGTTATATTTTGTTAATTTTTAAAGTATTTTGGGAGGGCAAAAAAGGAAAATGTGAGTAGTGTTTTAAAAGAATTTTCATCCATAATTTAATATCTCTAAATAGTATAGGTGTACCGACCTGGATTTATTATGGAAAATAGGGTTAGGTAGATGCATCGATGTATATGTTAGCTGTTTTTGTGTGCCATGCTGAATAATGATGCGATCAGTTATAAGTAGAGTCCGGCCGGAAGGATCGGTCAATATTCTTCCTATAAATATCGAAAAAATAGTATCGAGCCTCTAGTTATAAGTTACGTAGTTGACTCTTATCCAGTTTATGCGTCTAGTAGATTGTTCTAATTTAGTTCCTAACAACAGAAACTGTGAAACCCAAAATATCCAAGATATAACGCCTGTTCCAATATCTTATTTTTCGTTATAATCCTTTATTATTATCGGGTAAAATTAATATTAGATAAATATTAGCAAATTAATGTACTAGTCTTACTAAATTCTTAATTTATTACTTTAGTAAGTACTATTAAAATGGCATTGTTCAAATCGTTGTTTCTGATTATGGGTATCCAAATTGGAGGATGGTTATTTTCTTCTATAGGCTTCTATCTAGTCGATAAAGGATTTATTAAAAAATTTAACGAAGAAAATAATGATTTAATTGGAGTATCTATTAATTGTATTAGCTCTTTAAGTTCAACGTTTGAAGTTCCTGCCGTTTTTCTTTCAAGGTCTCTTAGAAATTTTCAAAAGAAATTTTTTTTTAATTTTCAGCTCAGAACATCGCAAAGCTTTAAAGAAAACTTTAGGCTACGAAACTTCTTCGGTCTATCAAATGACTGTACAAAATAAAATTTCTCCAACCAAAAATCCTGTAATGGTACAGCCAGCTACTCCCGAAAATGTTCAGAATAGCTAATTTATGCTTGATTATTCAAAATCAAAGAGAAAAAAGAAAGAAAATTTATAAATTTTTTATAACTTTTATTAATTCGAAGATTAATATTGTAATATACATATTTAGCCCATCTCATATAAAATAAATAAGATCCTGAATGCCTGTGCGTATGCAGCAGAATTACTTGTTTTCGGCATTGTACCAATGAAAAAAGCAGCAAGATAAAAATTTTCGACTAGCTTTTTTCATCTATTTTTCATTTCCGATTCAGGCCAAAAATTTAAGTTTTATATGTACAATATTTCTAATCAAAATTATTTTAAAATTATTAATTTAATATACATACAACAGGCAATTTCTAACATTTTTAATTAAAAATTTTAACGAAAATTTAAATAAATTTATTGTAAATGCCCATTTGCCAATTTTTCAAATAATGCTTTGTCATTCGGAAATTTTTGTTTCATTAAAATATTGAAACGTTCAATGGCATCTTTCCCTTTCCATTTACAACCAACTGTGAATGTTGCTGTACTGTTTAAGCATTTATCTGCTCTCCAAATATACCTATATGTATATTGTAGAAAAATTAAATTAGGTATATTGCATTTAAAATGGGGATTTTTGAACGGACTTAGGTATTTTTTATTTACCTCATTTAAATGGAATGAGTTTAGCAAATGTTTAGCTACCAGCAGGATTCGAACCTGCAACATCCTCGTAGATATCTTGGCGCTTTCGCTCAGCACATACAGGAGCTCCACTACTGAGCTACCGGGCATCGACGCATCGACTAATATTTTCTCTTTTCTTAGATCGTTTAACCTCCGCCTAAGCCGAAATCCTTTGAGACCCAACGCTGGTGATAATTCAGAATTGTAGGTTAGAGAGGACAAAACAAGTAAGCCCTAAAATATCAAAACTGAGCTTTTATTTTTGATCTTTTACTTTAGCCTTAGGCCCAGCTTTCGCTATTTTATCTCTAACTATATAATTATTTTTCTTTTTTTCGACCATTAAAAAATTAAAATTCCAAAAAGAATTAAATTTACCATTCATTTTCTCTTTCCTCCAACTAAAATTCATTCAATTTAGATTTATTTAAATCCAAAAAAAATACCCCATAACCAAGTCCTTTAAAACAAGCTTTATGTCCCTGTTCTATAGGGCTGTGAAACCAAATAGAAGCATTCGGACATGCCAAATTACAAATAATTCTTTTTTGTTGTTTTTGGTTAGTATTTAATGCTTTCTTTGTTTTTTTATTATTATTTGCATTAATTTCTTCTTTCAATTTTTCCTGAAAAAAAATTTTTTAATTTTTAAATTATTTTTTAATTAAAAAAAATTAAAAAAAAAATACATTAGCAGCAAAACACCCCAAATCATCTGTCGGTGCCTCCCTTCCTTTTTCAATTTCTTTATCTTTTAAAATTAAACGGCATTTTGCTAAATCCGGGCCAGCTTTTGTCAATCCATCGGGTGTAGAACAATGAAGTTGGCGATATTCTTTAAATTAAGATTTTTTCAATGTTAATGTCCAAATTCAATTTGGATGGAAAAATTTTATTTATTTTCTTAAAAAAATTTTGTTTATTTGAGACAACTTAACCTTATACACCTCATTTGGGTACATTATACTCGAGATCGGCCTAGGTCTGGACCAAGGCCTGGCATCTTTTGACCTTCATGGAATTTTCCTGGACTACAGGCCCAGGTCAATAAATCAAACCCGGAACCCAGGAACAGGCCCAGGCTTTTCAAAATTTCTGATCTCTAATTTACAAACTCGTGGCTCAGAAACAAAAAAATATTGGGGTAATACTAGGGTTATAAAAAAATATTGGGGTTATTGCTTGGGCAGTTCCACCCCTCCTTTTGTCATACAGATTTTAGATCATATAATTTAAAAAAATCTTACGATCTAATTCTTGTTGTGCCAAAATAATTTGAAATAAGACAAAAAATATCCAAAATAATTTAGCATAAATTATTTTATTATTATTCATTTTTAATTAAACAAAAATAAATAATGAGTATTTTTTGAGACCTTTTATTCTTCTAAATTTTAAAAACAAGAAAGCAAATAAATATTTTTTTTCCCCTTTTTAATAATTTTTATATCTTGATCTCTCCCTTTCTCACATCTTTTTTTGGAATAATTAAGTACATAATCTAATCTTTTTATTTAATAATTTATTATTTTATGAAGACAAATAAGGAATATTTTTATGATGTTATTCATTTATTTTTTTATCCTGAACTTGAAATATATGGAGGGGTTGGGGTTGTCAATTTGGGTGGTTGTCAGCGATTTTGATCGACTTTTTTTATCCGTCCTCCAATCCGAATGAATCTTATATTATTTGAATTTTCTGATCTACACAAATTCTTCGATTAACTGAAACAGAACTGACAAAGAGAAACCCGAACTTTTCGATTTTGGTAAATTTCATTTTAAAATGGGAATTGAAGATAATTTTTTTAAAATTCATTATTAAAATTCCTAAATTATCCTACATAGCAGACATTTTCGTATTTACAGTCGTGGAAAAAAGTATGGAAGCGCTAGAAAATTTTCTCTTAATTTTTAATTTTTCATTCAAAAAATACGTTCTATATACCAATCGAAAGCTCTATTCGTATCTCAGTTGACATGTTTCTGCATTTTTCATGAAAATGAAAATTGGCCGAGATAATCCGGATCTACCGGATATACCAAATCCCACTTTTTCGGAAAAATTTTTCGGAACAAATTTAACAAACCCAAATGATAAAGTATATTTTTCTGAGTATTTTCCACAAAACCGCTTAGAAATATCTTTTTCCGGAGCAGAGATATGATTTTTTGAAAATCGCATTTTTCGTCAATTTTTGCAAAATTTTCAATTTTTAAGGGAAAGATGCGATTTTCAAAAAATCATATCTCTGCTCCGGAAAAAGATATTTTTAAGCGGTTTTGTGGAAAATACTCAGAAAAATATACTTTATCATTTGGGTTTGTTAAATTTGTTCCGAAAAATTTTTCCGAAAAAGTGGGATTTGGTATATCCGGTAGATCCGGATTATCTCGGCCAATTTTCATTTTCATAAAAAATGCAGAAACATGTCAACTGAGATACGAATAGAGCTTTCGATTGGTATATAGAACGTATTTTTTGAATGAAAAATTAAAAATTAAGAGAAAATTTTCTAGCGCTTCCATACTTTTTTCCACGACTGTATATTGCCCTTTAGATTAAAAAATTAAAAATATAAAACAATTATTCACAGTTAGAGATATTCCAAACATATCGTGGTTTCTCTTAATTTATCAGAAGTGTCGTTGTATGTAAAGAAAAGGGAGAGTCCACAAAAATATTCCTTTTTATTTTCGAATATGTATTTTCAATTTTATCAATTTTCATTTAAATTAGTTGATTAAATTATTCAATCGCAAATAAAAGCTTTTCTCTCCTCTTTTACAAAGGAACACTACCCAACAACCTACCAACCACCCACAGTCATTTATTTTATTTTTTTTTCCTTTTTTCAAACAAAAATTTGTATCTTTTTCCTATTACAACAACCAAACAACACAATAAAAAAAAAACCTTTAAAAATAAAACCTGTATTTTTGTTTGGAAAGAAACTTTATTGGAAAAGGAACAATTGAAGCGCAAAAATGATTGGCGTAGGTAGAAAGTGTTAAAATTGTAAAAAAAAATACAAAAAATCTTTTTAATAGGTAAAATAAAGAAAAAGAGTTAATTTTTAAGTTTATTTTTAATTTTTTCTTTCAAATTTTGCAAAAAAAGGAAAAATTTTTAAGTCGAGCGAAGATTAAAAAATTAAATTCTATTGCCAAATTTGCTGTTTTAATGCAACATTTTTGAATAAAATTTTTATTTTAAATTTAAAGACTGATTTTTAATTTAATTTTTATTTTAACAAATATTTTTTAACCAATAAAATTTTTTTATTTTACAGAAAAATGTATTATTATTCTTTATTAGAACCTCTCGTTTTATTCAAAATTTTATTAATTATTAATTTATCTTCCTGTCAAGATTTTAAATCGAGATTTGTACAGGATGGTTTGTCTATTGTTTTTAATAATAATTAATTAAAAAGGGCTGTTTAAAAACCTTTTCTCAATTCCCTAGCCAAAATTTTCTTTAAAATTAATTAAAATTTAACTGATTACTCAATAAAATGTTTAGCATATTTATTAATATTTCCTTTAAGCTAATAAGTTTTTTCAATTGAGAAAACTTATAAAATGTCTACGTAACTTTGTGTCAATCACTTTCTTTTAAATCTGTGGAAATGATAATCTAACTTGAGGAAAAAATTAACTGGCTAATTTTACTACCTTTTTAATCGGAAAAAAATTAAATGATAAAAGCAAATCCATTACTAATGCTGATAAAGCTATAATTAATTTATTACTTTATAGATTTCCTCCCAATTCCATTATCTGCCCCTCTCACCGAAGCAGAGAATGGAGGTGTGTTAAAGCAGGATCCCCGCTGTTTGAAGGAACATGACGTGGGCAATGGAACAAACAAAAGTTGGAAAACGTCATTTTCTTGTTTTTTTATTAATTAAAAATTGATTTTTATATGAGAAGATTTTTAGAAATAATTTCCAAAATTTCTTAAAAAAATTTTTGGGGAAAATTTAAATTAATTTTTTTATATTTCCTTTAATTATTTTAGTTGAACGGTTTTATTTTGATGCTCAAAACTCTTCTTGTAATTTATTTCTTTATTCGGGAGAGGGAGGAAACCAGAACAATTTTTTAACAGAAATTGACTGTCTTAACAATTGCTATATAGGTAAAATAATTAATTATTTTAAAAAATTGTAAAAATTGGAACGAAATTGTAGATAAAATTCTAGAAAACATTGAACTAAAAAAACTTTTGTAATAATTTATTTGAAAAACTAATTTAAAATATTAAATTTTTGCCCTAACAAATTCAAGAGTGTTGTAGGGATAATATTTACATAACTGTCCAAGACTTTGGTATTGAATCTTGAAAGATTTTCTGGTTTTTCACATTTTTAAAAAGGTTTTTATCAAAATAACCTATCTTGCTTTTGAAAAGTTTGAAACAAAAAATTAAATACAAAAAATAAATTAGTGAATTTCTCTTATGTTAACTCTCATCTTATGGCAAGTATTCGTATATCAAATGTATTACTATGCTTGCTAAAAGCTTGAAAGTTAATACAGCATTTATGCCACACAAATTTATTAATAAGTGTTATGGACTTAATAAACTTAATTGGTCTAAATTTATTTATTTAGATGTCAATGAAGGAGCTCCTTTAAAGGAAGAGGATGTCCACATAATAAAACAAGAAGCGGATCTCGGCCCAATTTCAAATTGTAATGGAAAGAATAAGGACAGACCAGAATGTAATGAGGATGAATCTAAGGGAGGAACAGAAAAGAAAGGAGAATTAATTGAAGAAGAACAATTTTCAGTTATTTAATAAAAAATATACAAAATTTTAATTTTGAAGACTTTAATTTCTTAATTTAAATATTAAATAAATTTTTTTATTCCGTTCTTTACCCTCTAATGGCTTGTTGGTCTATAATCTTGGAAAATTTTCATATTGAAATTTGATTCAAAAATTTTGTCTTAAATTTGGACTGAGTATGTCACTCCGAGAAACTTAATTAAAAACAGATACTATGAAAGTTAAAAGATTAGGAACCAAAAGCAAAAATGGGAAATTTTGATCATTTTTTAATGCTTTTTTCTCTTAATAGGAATCGAACCCAATCTTAATTAGAAATAACAGGCGTAGTCTAACATCAAACCACTTAACCAACCGACTAAAACGATGACGTAAGAGTTAAAAATATTTCTTTCACTTTTAAATATTTAAATATTCTAAAAAATTTAGGAAAATATTTTGACAGAATAAATATACCTATCTTGGGAACTCAATTTTCCGAAAAATTTCTAAAAAAATCCATCTTTCGGGGTGTATTTTCTATACCGAAACGAGAGGTTTAGGCTTTCGATTTTCGGTTATATCGTCAGTTTCGGCCCCCGGTTTTCGGCTTCAGTTTCGATTCACCCCTAATAATAACCAAACTATTTATAAATTAAAAAGGAATTTATTAACATTTTAATAAAAAAAATATAATCATTTTTTATTATTTTTCTATTTTAGAATTGTCAAAATTAATGATTAATTTTTTTTATTTTTTAATCAATTTTTAGTAATATACACATGTTTTAATAAAAATTTATGTTTTTTTTAATTTTTTAAAATAAATCTTTACTTTCACAAACTTGTCCATTCTTCATCATTTAAATAAATTTATTAAAATATTTTTCTTTCATTTTCTCAAAAAATAATTTTCTCTTTATTCAATTTATCGCATTCCTAATTGCATTTTCCTCCGTATATATTTCTACTTTTTTTTTGTTTTTTCTACTTTTTTTTATAAATATTTATGTGCCGCCTAGGAAAAAGTTAGCTAGGAAATTATTGATTTTTAACTTGGAAGTTTTTTGGAATTTTTTGAAAAATTTTAAAAAAATTTATTTTTGATTTTGCTTTTGCGTTAATAAATGAAAAGAAAATATCTTAAATTTTTAGAAGAAATGCCCCCATCATCGTTTCCATTTTAGGAAGAACTGTCAAAAATGTCTTCCCTTAAAGTTTTTATTCGATACACTTTTTCCTGTTCTTGGATATCCATGGTCGACTTTACTTAAGTTTAATTAACACAAATTTAAAAATTCTTAAACCGTTAAGGGGTTGTTTGTATTTTTCATTAAGCTGTGCGCAAAGCCCAAAAATAGCCAAAAATTAAATGACCAACTTTAGTAAGTAAATCAAATATGTAAATATATGTACATAACTCCTTTATAACAAAACACATTTTTTATTTCTAACTAAAATACTAACAACTCTAAATTGTCATTATACATATTATATGCAGAACCTCAATATAATCAACACTTTCCCTTATCCTTACAGTGTTGCCTGTTAAATGGAAGGGTTCCCTTCCTATCTGTCAAAGTATTTACCTCATCACTCCACAAATATTTACCAAATTTCTAAACTCTTTTTTCGTTTAGAATGTTTGTTGGGTTTTACATATTTACATATCAATAATCATTTCTATATTATCAATATATCACTTGAGGAATTTGAATATTATTTAATTTTTAAAATTATTTTTCCCTAAAATAAAATATTAATTTTCATAACCATTCGTTGACTTGGAATTTTTAAAATTTCCTTCCATGTTAAACTTACTAATTTTACTGTTTCCAATATGGTTAGCCTGTAATTTGTCTTTTCGTTTATCACGTTATCTTAAGGATGATGTGAGGAGCTTGTGATAAGAGAGGAAACTACCATACATATAAAGTTTAAATATTTGACATTGGAATTTATTCCCAATTTGATATCAATGATAGAGAGCTTAAATTCCAATATTGTTTTATTGGGTACATCCCAAGGTACCGCAAGGCTAAGGTACCACCTAGCTATAACTTTGTTCAAAACGAAGTTATAGCTCAGCGGTATTTTGGCCTGCTCCTGTTTTTTGCTTTTTTATGAAGTTCAAGGTACTAACAATGGAACCATACGAGACAGATAATTTTCCTAAACTCGAGACCATAAATTTAAAAACGGGATTAAACATCTCGCACGCTTCTATCAATTATTGAATTTTGAATTCTCTTTCATTCTCCCTTCCGAGGTCCCTTCCATATTATTTTGTATTTTCAATCAAAATCCTTAATTTCTTTTTATATTTTTAAATTTTTTCATTATAGCCAAATTTGGATAAAATTTGATTTAATCCTTCTTTCCAAAAATAATCATTTCTTTCCGTCGGGAATTAATCTTTTTTGTTCATTTCCACTTCAAAAAACCCCTCCTATTTTTGGTTGTTATCTCCCCTTCTTCAATTTTCCACTTGTTTTTTCCCTATTTTTGCCGACCTAATTTATTGAGGTTGCTTTTATTACTCACTCTCGAATAAATAAAAATACTAAAAGAGTGTAAAATGAATAAATAGATTGAATAAAATGGCAAAATTGTTATGTATAAGCGTCATAAATTCTCTCTTTATTTCTTTTATTTTTTTTCTGTTTTTGTTTTGGGGTGTATATTAGCTGGAATTATTTATTCATTCTTCTAAAATAATTCTTTATTGGCAACTTTATTTTTTATTTAATTTTTATGAAAAAGCCGCGCATTTGTGTTTTTTCTCTTGAGGTTAATTAAATTAATACAATCAAAATAAGAAACAAAAATTCTAATATTTATTAGCCGTTTTTGCAAAATTACCTTTAGAAAATTTTTCTATGCTCTCATATATTATTTAAATGGTTTCCAACTCTTATCAACACCTTGGGGTAGCTTTAAAGTTGGTGTGAAATGCTGGAGATGGCTGAAGACACTCCCTAGTATCGCATATCAGTGTTCTGATGACCAATGGCGGGTCGGAATTCCGATTTCCGGCGTTTTTTCCTTCCGATTTCCGAAAAAATTTTATTTCAGATTTCCGAGTTCCGACTTTTCAGCCAGTTCCGATTTCCGGCTCTTCCGATTTCCGACACCTCTGACTGTCCGAGCCACCTCTGCTGATGACTCTATGTAGCGGGATCGGATAAGTCTTTCAATTCTCCTAGTATTAGTCTTCAATTTATTTTCACTGACATTTTTAGGCCCAAGAATATGTGAAAGTTTGGTGCTGTAATGCGTGTTCATTATTGTGTGTTCGAGACCTTTTATTTAAAAATTGTTTGAATTCTTGAATAAAACATTTTGAAAGCAAAATTAAATTTAAAATAATTTTTAAAATGTTCAAAGACCTCAAAAAAATTTTTTTTTTAAATATTTTCCAATAAAAAATTCCAATTCGATGAATAACCAACCAAATTGGTATATTCTTCCCCTTAACTTTTTTAACACATTTTTTCTTTTCTTTTTTAGTTTTTCCAGATTTTTCACTTTCCTTTTGCCCCGTTCTTTCCTTTTTTACATTTTTTTTGCATAGTTTATTCTTCTAAATTGCCAAAATTGACAAAATAAAGCTTTTAGTTAGTCAAACAAAAAATTGTTTTTAAAAAGTCTTTTTTTTTTTGAAAAAAAAGAAACAAAAAAATATATATTAAATTTAATAAATTTACAACAATTTAATTAATTAACAGCACAAAATGTTGACTATACTTAGTGACAACGAAAATTTGCTGGAACGTTTGGTTAGTAATAAAAATGAAATATTATTTAATTTTTGGGAGAAAATAATAAAAAATTAAAAAAGATTAAAAATAAAATTAATTAAGCTTTTAGTTGCTTATAAAGAAATGTTGAGGTTTAAATAAGCTCTTATAGAATGGGCTTCAATTAGGAAGTTAGCATTTATTTTTCGAAGGGCCTTCTTAGGCAGGCTTGTACTATGGTGTGTTACAAAATTATAAGGCACCCCAATTTTTTACTTTTTACCACCATCAATTAGTCAATGCATCTTTAATGGGATTTCTAACACGACCGAGCTTTAATTAGTTATTGAGGGAAATTTTTTTTCATTTAGACAACTTTTCAGTAGTCTCTTTAGGGTGTATTATTGCGTCTTGATTCTGCTTCTTAAATTAAATTTCTAAAAATTATTTTTCAAATATTTTAAAAAATTATTAAAGGAATTAATGACTCAAAACATGCCAAAACCTCCCAACACCAACAAAACAATTAATTCCCCCATAAAGGCTCGCAGTCGTTTACTCGGCCAAATTAATACAAATTTAATAAATAATGATTTTGTGTCAACACAAATAATGTCAGAAACAGAAGAAAATAAAAAAGAAGGAAAATTTGAAATTTGTAGAAATTGGATGATTTTAATGGGGAAAAGAAGTTTTGAAGAAAGTCAGGCAGCGATTCAGTCCTTTTCTGATTTGTTTAGATTTTCGTTGGCTATGGTTGGTGAGCTGAGATTTATGGAATTAAATCAGAATTATTCTTTTATAAAATCAGAATTTAATTAAAAATAAATGAAAATACCCACAAATAATTAATTTAGATAAATCAGAATTTTTTCAGTAATACTTATTATATTAAATCAGAAATTTGAAAATTTTATCAGAATTTTAAAACAAAAATAAAATCAGAATTTTGCATATAAATAATTGATTTTTAAAATCAGAACCAGAACCAGAAAATAAGTAAACAAGAATTAAACCCAAATCAGAATTAAATAAATAAAAAAGTGACCATAATTTAAATCAGAATTATAAGTAATTTAGAATTTTTATACTAAAATTAAATCAGAATTTAAATTTTATTAAATAAAATAAATCAGAATTTAATCAGAATTAATGGGAAATTTATATTTAAAATAAAATTTAATATATTTATTATAGAGAGGTTCATTTTCGAATAAAATTCTTTCTGGAAAAGAAGAGCCAATAATGAAAATATTAATAGCAAAGAAAGAGCATTCCCAAGATGATGAACAATGTCTTAGAGAACAAATGGAAATTATTAGAAAAAATTGGACAGAACAATGGGGTAGTGGGCAATTAGACAGGCTTAGGTAGAAGAATTGGGGGCTATTAAAATTAGAAAAAAATTATTAGACGTTTTGGAGAAAGTGAGGCATTACAAGAACAACTAGAACGTACTCAGCGATGGATGGAGGAGTTTAAAGAAGTTGGTGATTTGTGTTGTGCACTTGCCTATTTTGATGAACCCGAGCTAATGGCAAGGAGAATTTTCTTTATAAATGATATAGTCGAACCTTACTATAATATAAACTCAAGTTAAGATACCTCAATTTAAGATAATGAATTTGGTTTAGGGGGGGGGGGGACTAGCTGGAACCTAGCTGCTTAAAGCAATATCCCCTACATATTTAAGATACACTTCTTTATAAGATAATACGAGTTTTTAACCCCCCAAGGGGCATTTAGAAGTGAAGTACGGATATAATTAATGGCACTAAAATTTTCATCTTAACTTTCAGACTACAATAAACAAATTCTTCGAAATTGAAGAATCAGGATTTGAAATTCTGGACTCTTTTGAACAAGACAATGATTTTATTGGACAACGGCAATTATTTACTAAAGCACCAGTATAGAAATTTTATTTGGAAAATTAACGAAAAATTTCCCCCTTTAGGCATTACATTGGACAAATTATCCACGCGAATCGGATGTCCAAGTTACGTTTAAATTTACGTTCCCAAAGGGAACAATCCCTGAATGGATTTTTAGAGATTGGATTAAAATGGCGAAAGAACAAGTTGAATGGAATTATATATATGAGTGGAACAATGGTGTTTTGCTACGAGCTGATGAACTTGTAAGGGGAGGGAAGGGAAGGGGGGAAGATGGGGTGGGCAGGGTTGAGAAAAGAGTCGTGTCGGGGTTTCAAAATTAACTTCTAGTTTCGGAAATTAAATTTTGGGATGATCCATTCTACAGTTTGGAGGGAACAATTCCTTTTAGAGTGAAAGGAACATTATTTTATAAAGCGAGGGGAACAATAGAGGGAAGGGAGATAGAGGGAAGGGAGCAATTATTTTATAGGGTGAGGGGAACAATTCTTGTAGAATATTTAAAATTCAAAAATAAAACAAAAATTCAGGTAAAAATCACCTTAATTCGTCTTCAAGGAGAACCTAATATTATTGAACTTTCTGGGAGAATAGACATAGAAGAGGCTGCCGAAGAAGAATTACAAGAGAGAAGGGACAGCAATGAACAACAAATTGAAGATGGTCTTGACTGTAGTCCACCCTCATGTCCATTAAAAAGAGTTTGGCCTTTTTTGGTTCAAATTTTTCAGCCTCTGCTTTCTGGCATTGATAGCTACAGAACACTTCCATTTAATGTATAAATTTATTTTTTAATAAAGCATTTTTATATTTGATTGTCCACTGGGTGGATGGGAATTCCTAAGTGATACCCTAATTTAAGATAAACTTTCTTATAATATAATACGGATTTCGTTTCATGAATATTTCTTCCTAAGATATTTCTTCTAATTATCCCCAAACTTTCAGCTAAGCCTTATGTTTATTGGTGAGTGCTTTTTTACGTGCCCAGAAGGTGCGCAAAAATTAACTGCTCGTTCTCTGGATGCTATTCAAACTTTAAGTTCTATACAAAGAATTAAAAATGTCCGGTTTAAAGCTGATCAGGATCAGATTTATTCTCTAAATCTGGATCAATGCTTTCCAGGTACAATAAGTCAGATTTTAGAAACATTAAAGATTTCTCTCTCTTCAGACTTTCGACCTACCAAAATGACTGACTTTTCACCAGCTAATTACCCTCTAACATTAAAACAACAACAAAATCATTCACAAACAAAAGGCAACACTAGTCCCCTCTCTCCACTATTATATTCCTCCTCCTCAACCTCTGATGAACCGGCAACGTCCGCTACTTCCCTAGGGGATTCTCGCGTACAATCACCACGAACTGTGACAGAGAAAAAACGTGTAGATCGCTCACCGTCTTGCGTTCCTTCATTTGATTCAAAAACTGAACAGATTTGTTCCTCTCCTTCGCCTTCTCCACAGCCTCAGCATTGTTTGAATGTGGAGGGAGGTGGATACAAGTAAATAATTATTTTACGCTAAAATCATAAATTTGCTAGATTCTTCCCTTTCTCCTTCCATAAAAAGTTCTTTCTTAGTCTAGATTAGAGCTGGTCGAGGTCGAGCGAAAATTTTTAAATTTTTGTAAGACTACGAAGCCAGATTTCTTCCATTTCTTACAAAAAAAGTCTATTTTTAGGGGTGTATATTTAGCCTCTGCGAAGTTCTGGGCGAGGACCGAGACGAGGTTTCGAGGCCCGAGATCAGCAAAATCTAGGTCGAGGTTGAAAAATCGGCGAGGACCTAGATGGTAAGCTGTTAGTAATCGCTTATGCTGGCCTTGGGTTTAGGTTTAACAATTTAAGAGTGTCAAAATCATAAAATTATTTTCACTTTAATTAAATTTTTAAAGAAATCGTGGCCGCCGTGTCTCTTTTGGCATTATTCATTCTATACCAAATACAAACAGTTCCAACACTGCTGGAGCTTCTTCCCCTCTATTAATGAATATTTCTAGTAATTTTTCTTTATCCAAAGAAACAAAATGTGAAGAAAAAAATGAGGAAAATAATCAAAATGAAGAAAACCCTAAAAGTGCCTTAGTAGAAAATATAGTTGATGAAATGTTACAAAAGGCGATTGATCAAGTTTTTATTAAAGAATGAAATGAAATTTTATGAAAATATTTTTTTAGATTTTTTGGAGATATTTTAATATTTTTATAATTTAAAAAATTTATTTATTAAGTAAAAATGAAATTTTTAAAATTAAAATACAGTATTTTCTCTAAAATTTAGAGGTCGATCAAAAAGATTTAGAGGTCGATCAAAAAAATACCCACTGGGGACTATTTAAGAGAAAATACGTATGTATGTTAAAATTGTGTCAAAATAGCACAACAAATTAGAATCTCTTGGCCAAGGATTTCACACATAAGTAGGACCAAGAGTTGAACTTCAGAAACTATTGAACATTTTCAGAATATTATCGAACTTTTAATGAAAGTTTGAACCTTTAATTACTCACTTTTTTATCCAATTTTTAATTATTTTTAAGTTTTTAGAATGTTCCCCTATTTTTTGCCCCTTTTTTGAGTGGCTGTGCTTAACTTTAGTGTTTTGAAAAAGGCCACCCGGGTGTATAAAATGAAAGATGAACAACATTCTATAAGGGGGAAAAATGTAAATGAATGGCGAAAATTTGCAGAATATTTCCTACAAAATAAGGGAATTAAACAGATGCGCTTAGGTAATATAATAGAAATAATTTTAAATAAAAAATAAAGGAAAACCTAGGTTTAAATCGGACAAAAGCAGAGTAATTTCAATAGAAGGAATTTAAGCTAAATGAAAATTAAACTTTAAACTATCGCTTGTCGCTGTCCGCGACTGTGAAAAAAATACCTTCTATTTAATTATGCTTAGAATTTGAAAATAAGTTTTTAAATAATTAAAAGTTCTTTTATTAATTTTTAACCAAAAATATAAAATTTTTTTCTCAATTATTCCCATCAATTTATAAATCAATTTATTAGAACACAATTTATTTTTATACTATCACCTTTCATTTTTATGTCTGAGTTGATATTTGATCAAATATTTGATTTTCCAACGTCAAATATTTGTTTGGTCCGATCTCTAGTTAAAAGCTTCAAAGTTTTCGATTTTTGGATATTTGGAGTAGGGTCGGGCCAGATTTTTCCGAGGCATTTTTTTCGCGCTTGTTTTTATCGAGTCGGGCCGGTACGAGTCTTTTTCGGGCCAAACATCTAGGCCCGACTCAATCATTTGGTCCGTGTCGGTCCATTTTGGCAATCCTAATTTGGAGTCTCCCTTTTCTTTCCTTTTCTTCACCTTTTCCTTTTCTTTCCCTTTCTTCTTCCTTTTCTTTGCTTAGTAAAATGGTCGACTAAAAATTTTTTATTGTTAAAAATTAATTATTAAAACGATGTTTCGGAATATCCTTAAACCAAAAATCTTCCATTTTCTGCGCAAGGCAAAAAATTCATAGGATTTTAGAAAACCAGAAAACAGATTTCTTCCATTTTCAGCGGCGCAGTCGAAAAATAAGAGGATTTTAGAAGGTCTTAGCAGAAAAATAATGATATAAAAAATCCTCATAATCTTCAGAAGACCACAAAAATCCGCATTTTTAAACATAATCCTCATCGACCTATAACAAACCACAAAATGAGGAAAAACCCGCTTATATCGAAGCTCTGATTTTGAATGATGTACATATTTTTAAATGATTTAATTTTTGACCATATTATGTATATTTTATTTTTAACTGTTCACACATAAAATTAAAATAATTTAAGCTTGCACTTTTACTCTACCACTCTAAGCAAAGAAAAGAGAGAAGAAAAGGATAAGGGAGACACCCTGCTCTGAACGATGGTACAGTGTGTAAATTGAAAAATTTTTTCTGACAGTTCGATTATTTTCTTTTGTCATTGCCCTTTCAAGTTAGAAAATAAATTTCTTCTTATTCGTTTTTCAAATAAATTTAATACATAAATAGAGTAAAAATCATTTAGTGAATTTCGAACGTAACTTTAAGGAACCGCTTTACCGTACATTCAATTTACTTAGCCTATGTTTTTAGTACATTACATTTTTAACATTTTCGATTTTTTTATTTTTGTAAATCTATTTTCCGTAACATTTTCTATTTTTTATAATCTTACTTCTGTTTATGTTTAAATTACAAGAAAGTTAAGAGATAACTAATTTCGATAACTTTTATCCAGGTAAAAATTTTTTTAAATTTCTAGGATCTAGGATCAAGCTCAAATGAAAATTTTGCTAGAAAAATTAAATCTTTGGGAAAAAATTAACCTAGGAAAACCAGGCATAAAAATTTCCTGGGCCTGTTCCTGGGTTCTGGGTTTGATTTATTGACCTGGGCCGGATCCTGGGCTTGTAGTCCAGGAAAAACCCAGGCTTTGGTCCAGACCTAGGCCGATCTCTACTCGGTATACCCAAAATGATTTAGGTAAATACTTTCTTAAATATGTACATTTAATATTCTACAAAGATTTTTAATAGATAGTTTAATAAAATAAATTTTTTATGTATCTTAACCCCTTTAAAATTAAAACAATTCGCTCGATTAATTATATATCTTAATAAACTTTTAGAATAATTAACCGACATTGAAAAAATCACCTTTTTGGCAACAAAAAACTTTCTTACACTCAAAATTTTTTACTTCAAAATAAAACAAATGCCAGAAAATATTATCTTTAGTCAAATCATGATCCTAGAAGTTTAAAAAATTTTTTAACTGGATAAAAGTTATCGAAATTAGTTATCTCTTAACTTTTTTGTAATTTAAACATAAACAGAAGTATGTAAGATTATAAAAGATAGAAAATGTGACTAAATGAAGTTCAAGAGTCTTATTTCTTTGTTTTTTTCTCATTTTATTTACACAATGCGCGAAAATTTGAAAAATATTATATGTAAAATGCTAAAAATAAGGCAAAATATGGCAAATATATAAAATAAGGAAAAAATATGGCGAAAAGAGCAAAAATAGGGAAAATCCTCTATAAATAGGGTAAAAGGCCACCCTGCTCTTGGGCTAAGAATTTCACACACTAGTAGAACCAAGAGTTAAACACCAGAAACAATGAATTTAACTAAATGAAAAAAATAAACTTTGAAAAATTCAGACTACTATCAAGCTTTTAATAGAAGTTGAAACCTTTAATTATTCGACTTTTTATTCCAACTTTTAATTATTTTTATTTTAATATTTGTAACTTATTTTTCCCCCTTTTTTGAGTGGCTGTACTTTACTTTAGTGTTTTGAAAACACAAAAGTAAAGCGTTGAAAGACTAAAGTTTTTCTTAAAAAATAATGATTTAATCACTAAAAAATATGTAAATATAAAGTGGAAAAAAAGAAAAAAGAAGTCACATCTTTGTTTAAAAAAAGGAATTTATATTTTTGTAATTTAGCTTTAAATATGTAATTCCTTTATAAAATTTTATTTTTATTTTTCTAATTCATTTTCTAATTCATTTATTTTTTCTAATTCATCTAATTCATTCATTCATTTTAATTTTTTCCCTATATTTTTCTATATTTTTTCAATTCTATCTACAATATACCAAAAATTTTAAAATAGTAAAATAAGTGAATATAGGGAAAAACTAGAACAAAAAATCAAAATATGTCAAATCCCTTGTTAACGAGGGGTCACCTTGATCGAAATACTTTAAAATAAAATTACTGTTTTTAAATAAGCACAAATTTTACAAATTTTTAACAAAAAATAAATAAACGATGAGAGAAGCATTAGATCTTATTCAATTTTTTGTTTTTTCAGTTATACATATTTATCTAATTTTTTTCTTGTTTATCTTACTGAAATTTAAGCATGTTCAATGGATTGCATTATGGCAAATCTTTTCGTTCTAAATTTAAATAACTAAAATTTAAGCGCCCGCCGAAATCCAGATGACTGGAGCCAGCCTCATTCCTGTTGGAAGTAAAAAGTGTGAGTTTAATCTTCTTTTCAACCTTAATTTAAATAACTAAAATTTAAGCGCCTTTTCCAAAGATGCCTTTAAATAGAAGGTTTAATCTTCTTTTCATTCTAAATTTGGCTGTACTTTAGTATAGGTCCACCGAGATCGGAACTCATAATATATACCATTCGATTCGTCTCGCCGAGCTGAGTTCAAATATGCAAGAATTTTCTGCGGGACGCGAAAACTCGCAAAGATACAGGCGATTGAAAATCGAAAAACCATAGGGGGGACCAAGCTCGATTTTGGGGTAAAAAATTCGAATATGCAAATTATACCTCATTCGAAAGAGCTCGTCGAGCTGAGTCGAATGACACCAAAATCAACAAAATCAGACATGATTGAACAAAGTTATGATCTTTTCTTTTAGCTCCTTACCTATGGCATCTGTGGAGATTTTTTATGCTACGGAGGCCCCAAATACGTCCAGAGCAAGGGAGATAGGAATAGGTTTATGTTACTGACCCAGACCCATCTCCCCGCGAGGCGCGTGCCGCAAAACCCCGCGCGAAGCGCGGGGTTTTGCACAAGCGCCTCGCCGACGCTCCATAGATTTAGGTTTTTTGTTTTTTGTGTCATAACTTTGTCTAATCTTGTTCAATCACGATGATTTTGGTGTCATTCGACTCAGCTCGTCGAGCTCTTTCGAATGAGGTATAATTTGTATAAAAAATTTTTTATTCCAAAAA